AAAAATTTAAATACAATAAATATTAATTATATAATATAAATTGAATACTATTTAGTTAATCATAAGTTAATTATTAATATTAAAAATAAATATAGTCTTGTTAATTTTCTTTTAATATAAATACATTATAAAAAATTACTTACCAATTTTTAAAGATTTATTGTAATCAAAAACATGTCTTACAAATAAAATCATCCCACAAAACACTAATTGTTTACTAAGTTCACTGTTATTTGAAGCAATTACAAACTTTTTTGCAAAACTTGATACCTTTTTCCATGCTTTTCGTTTATCACTTAATTATAATACATAAAGAATTAACAACTATAATTAAAAAATTTTAAATAGATATACTTTAAATATTTGGATAATTACCTTTGACTTAGAACAGATCTTAATTCCCACGAAAGTTTTTTACCAATACGTTCACATGAAGCAAATAAATCTTCCCAGGGAGTTTTAATATAATTTTCAGTATCAGGTAAGTTCTACAAGAAATATTATTAGAAAAATGATTGATAATATTAAATAGTAAATCATGTTACCTGAATAATAGAATGTCCTCCCATAGCATATGTAATATAAAACTCAGTAGTTTTTGTTAACATTTTATAGAGATTTTTCTGATTTAATGTATTTGTTGACACTAATAAAGGACCAAGATCACATACTGCAAAAAGTATTTATCATAATTAATGGAATTAATTTTATTAATTACAATATATTCTATTATATATATTCTGGTCTAAAATATATAGTTTATATTTAAAATAATACAAATTTAAATTAAATATTAAGTATAATAATAACAATATAAAATATAAAGTAAATATATGGTTATTACCTAAAATTTTTCTGTAACAGTTTATAACATTTGGACATTGATTGTGTTTTTCTGCTGTTATCATTGTATCCATAAGTTTTAACTAAAACAATTTTGTACATATTAAACAAATGTATATTTTTAGTAATAGACTATGTATTTCAATTTATTTACATTTTAACCATATTTTAGAATAATATATATCTTTCATTGATTTAATAAAAAAATAATAATAATTAACTACATAATTCCTAAAAATTAATTTTTTTATTGAAATTTTATTTCAAAAAAGCATTTCTTATTCATATGTAACAAAATGATTTATATTTAATCACTATACTAGCTACTTAAAAAACTAATTTATTATTTATTTCAATATTTTTTTTAAATTTTGAAAGTGCTGTCAGCACAGTATTTGTATTCCTTGACCCATGAGAAACATGGAAAATTTTGCATTTGGAAAAATTAACTGTTTGTTAGCTTTAGAGTTAGCATAAATGAGTTATTATCAAACTAAAATTTAAAAATATTATATGTGTTTATATGTTATTTTTTTTTTTTTTTATATTTCAATTTTAAAGAGTTATGATCATATTTAAATTGAAATATTTTATAAATACATTACTCGTATAAAATTGTTATATCTTTCAAAAAAAATTAATGCACTAACACACATAATGTTATTAATATTAAAATAGTTTGATAATAGGTAAATGTATTCACTCTAATGTAAAATTTAACAATTTATGGTTGGTTCTGATGAAAGAAAATTTGCTATGATGAACATTATTCAGAAAAAGAAAACAAATAGTGCAATAACATCCACTTAAGTGTATTAAAATATTAAAATTTTTTTTTACTCTTCTTTGTCTAGAGAACTACTTTTTGAGTATTATTTTTCCAATAAATATAATTTAAATTTGTGTTGTTTATTATTTATAATACTATTCTTACTGCTAATTCAGTTGATGATTGAGGAAAACGATTTAGAAGTAAAAGAACTAAACGGCAATGTTCCATAGTGTCTTCGCTTCTTTCAGCACATACCGACAATAATTTCTGTTGTATAGCTATGACAAAAAATTTTTAATGACATATTACTAAAAATTGATATTATGAAATAACAATTATAAAAAAAACTTAGATAATTCACAATTTAAGGCTCTAAATAAGCTAAAACAAGCATGATATTTTAATAATAATAATATGCTTAGAAATATAAATACTTAGTATAAAATCTGATATTTTATAAATATTTTATTCAATAATATTTCTTTAGTTTTTCTTAATACTACAAATATTAATTAAAATATTTTAAATTATGGGCATTTTTTTTTTTTTTTAAAGATAATTTTTATAATAGATAAATGCTTTGATATTCAACTATGAAAGTGGGTTCTATAAGCAAATTGCATCTATATTTTGTTCAATATAAGAAACACATTCACCAAGAGTCAACCTAAGTTTTTCTTAATTCTACAGAGTTAACCCTCTGTACGCTAGTAAGCAGTAAAGCTATTCTTCTGAGCATAAGTTGTTTGCTACATAACATTTTTAAGTTGAACAGAATATAAACCCAATTTTCCATCGAAAATCAATTCCAAAGTTGTAGTTTTTTCAACTATAAAAAGTATATTTAGACCTAAAATTATATCTTAAACAATACATTTATTACTTTACTCGGGATCTAAAATACATAATAAATTTTTTTCAATTAAATTAATCATCCCTTGTAAAATTGTATACAACGCCAAATTAACCTATAAGCAAGTTAAGGATTGCTTGAGGACTTCGAAAAAATTGTATGAGTAAAGATGATTATAAATTAAATATTATTTATATTCATAAATAAAATAACAGATTTTTTTTTAATTTGTAGTTCTGAAATACAGCTAACAAACTGGACAAATGTATATTATATATATATATATATATATATATTTTTTTGTTCTTATGGCCAATTAGATCCATTTAACTTTTTTGCTTAATTTACTTATGATTTGCAATGCAGTTAATCTGGCACTGATTGTTTATATTTAATAGACTGGGCAAAATAAATTAAATTAAAATTTCATGACATTTTTTTTTTTATTTAGCTTACATAAAGGTAGTGCAGAAAACATTTTTCTAAAAAATGTTTGTTCTTCTGATAAAGAAGACGTGTCCATACATAATATTGGTGTAAAGTTTTCAATCTCTTTCCAAAGAATTGCCTCATTTGGAAAATCTTCAAGCCTAAACATAATTTATGATTAAAAAGTGCAAAATTAAAAAATTAAAATCATCTTACAGACTACTGAAACATCTAGCTGCTCTTTGAACACAACGTAAATTTTTCTCTATTTCATAACATTCAAACTGAAAATCACATAAAAAAAACATAAAAACATCTAGTAACAAAATTAGATAAGCTAAAAATTACATACGTGTATTCCAAAATTACTAGGAAACATTGATTTTGCTGTAAGTAACCATGATCTACATCGATAACAATCAGTCTCAAGAAAACTTTTTGCTTTCTTCATCATGTACTCTTCGTCAGTGACAGTCACTTCCATAGGCTCCATTTTTAATTTTAGTATAGGTACTTCTTATTTAAACTATATTTTCAACCATGAGTAATAAATTACACTTTAAAAAAATTACATAATATTATAATCCAATATTTAATAGAGTAGCTTTTAATTTTTTAAATAATCAAAAATCGTTGTAATTAAAGAGTTTAACTGACATACTATTTAAAAAAATAATTAAATGTACAGCCTTTAAAAAATAATAATCTGGGAAAGTAAACAATTCAGCTTGGCTATAGGCTATATACCTAAATGGACCATAACTTATTATGCTTGTATCGTAGTGATAAATGATAATACAATCTTACCTATGTTTAATTATAAATGTTTGCATGACAAATCTTGCGGCGGTATAGAAGATAAGAGTTATCTAATATCTATTACTATCAACAATGGATTAAAATTTAAAACCGGAATTAATCTACTGTTGCTTCTAAGGTGTTTATCGTTTACTGCTCCATTTAGTATGTTTGACTATTTGAGTTAAGCTCAACTCAATACTCATAGTTAATCATAAATAATTAATGGTACCAAAATTAGAAGAGACAATCAAAATATTTAGAATACTATACTAAGGAACAACATAGGAGAGCACCAGCAGCTGTAGTAATGACTAATGATGAATGAACATGACTTAATATTATGTCTTATTCCTTGTCCATAAAACTTTAATTAAGGTATATCCATAGATAATAATGTTAATCTACAAATAATACATTTTCAATTATAAAACTCCTCGGATCATATTTTCTATGAATACTCTTTATAGTTCTGTAGCGTACCTAATTCTCGTTGTCTTATCGACTGCATCAGTTGTAGCGTGCTTAATTCCGTTCCTTCAATCGTTGGTTTGAAATGATTGTTTTAATCAATTGTAATTTGAAAATAGTTTATTTAAATTACAAAGGTTAGCGACTCCGATGAGTGAAGGTGCCGGCCGCCAGGGACTCAACGGCTTTAGTACATCTGATTGTACTATGCTAAATGCTTCCTCCTTACATGTGGCTACCCTGGCACTCTTCTAAATTTGAGGTCAATAGACAATAACTCAGCCATGGTGTCTCTGTTGCATCAAAATCTATTTTGTTATGGTTGTATCCTTGCATCCTTCGAAAGTTGGTATGAGTTATAGCTATTGGGCATTTTCTATTAGTAATATTAGTATTTAGTAATACGGTAGAGTGTAGACCTCCCAGCCGATTGAGTGTCGTTTCTATATTGTTCTATGCTATTAATGAATAGTCATAGTTCTCTACTCACCACTATACTATAGGTTAATCATAGTTGAGGTTTCTATATTTAAATATTAATTTTAGCCAGTTTCATTATAACACATACATAACATATTTTGTATTTCATATTATTTGTGATACAACATTTAGCAAGACCTAGGTTTGGATATCCTAACACTTATTGAGTATTTATTATAAAATACATTTTAACGTTAGAATTACGAGCACATTACAGTTTAAATAGTTCAATCAATTTGTAATATTTACAAGGCCTTATCAGTAACCATTTGCTCTTGTCACCACTAAATAATCATATTGTAATGTTAGGTTGTATGATAACACTATTTGATAAGAAACATATTTTTTCTGGATAGTCAATACTCAATTCCTATTTCTTTAATATTAATATAAAAAAAAAAAAAAAATAAATAGTTAACACACTATTACCTAAATACTTATATTTTCTAATTTATGATTCGCAAGTTGCACACATAAAGAATGATATTCATGTACATTATCCAATACTAAAATTGTCTCAACAAATTTTAATAAAAATGTCTGAAGCTAAGAACGGAGATTCAAATCCTTGCTTGCAGGTAACATCATATAATTTCAATTATAAATATGTTATTAATACTTAATATGTTATTATCATGATGATATGAATTAGTAATTATTTGATATAATTAATTCGGTTTATAATGTCAAAAACTAGAATACTTGGTTCTTAACTATATTTTGTTGTACATTTAGGAACAAAGGTTATCATATAAATGCTTACAAGATAACTTTGGGGATAAATCGCAATGTGAACCGCAAATAGAAAATTACAAGGACTGCAAAACATTTTGGGTATGTTTCTATGCACAAAAACTAAAATCAGTATTGCATTTCATTTCTTTTGAACTTAAAATATTGAAAACCTAAATAATTAAATTTGAAAATGTTAATCTATAATTTGTTTCCAGTACAATATTTTTAAAGAACGGAAAAACAAAAAAATACAACCATACATGCCATCATTAGAAGAAAGGATAAAAATTAAGAAGGAATACATGAGTGGTCAATAAAACATTAAAATATTGTATAACTAATAATATGATATATTATAATATATAATGTTTACTATAATATTATCTATATATTTTATGTGTTCTTAAATATATGGTTAAGATTATAAATGTTAAGTTAATACTTGAATAAGGTTTAAATAAGTGTAGTATTTTTTTTTTCAATAAAAATATTTATAAAAAAAAAAAAATATTAATATTATTTTAATTAAATAATATTTGCATGTATAAATAACAAAATACATAATGGAAAAAAAATCAACAATAATATTGTAATGTTGCTAATATAAAAAAAAATTAATTTTGAAATAAATAAATTTTAATTTACTATTCATATATTAATAATAAAAAATAAATAGGTAGCTAATACTTTAATTAATTTACTTTATTATATATATCATAATGAAAGCTTATGAGACTACCTACTTATACTTATAAAACTTATACAATTACTTGGAATCAACTCATTAAGTTTCTATGAATGAAGAATAGCATCATACGCTTGGAAGACTCCTTGGGCCACTTCCATAGCTAATAATTTTAGTGATAGCTAAAACAAAATAATTTTAAAATTAGAACAAAAAACTATAAAAACTTTAAATTTTATTTTGCTGAAATATGAATTTATTTCTAAAAGTTATAAAATAATTATTATAAAAAAATATTAGATATTTCATATGTAAAACAATATACAGTACAATTTTTTTAAAACACGAAGAAAAATAATATAATTTAAAATACTTACAGTTATGTTTGGATTTCCTGGTTGAATTTTAAGTTCATTCAACACCCAATTGCCATTAGTCAACTTTAATGACTGGTATAACATGTCCTGACCTTCAACATGTCTTTTAGCTATTGTAAATACATTATTTTGTGACATCTTCAAAACAATAGCCTCTGAAAAGTATTAATATATAAACAATAATTATAATAATTATATTGAACAAAATAGTAAGAAACTTAAATACAAATAAAATATAGAAAATAACTGGATAGTAAAAAAAATTATACATATACAATTTAATATCACAAAAATATTAGCCAAATAGTTTAATGTAAATCAAATACTACTTTATATACAATTATTGAATTTATTTTATACCTGTGTTGCAAAGCACATTTTTTAAAGTGAACTGCACTTCATTTTCTGCAGGTATATCTTTCCACGTTTTTAAAAACACTCTTTTATCCATTTGACCATCTTCGATAAAAAATACATTCATTGGTACAATACAAGCAAAATATAAAACATCAATGTTATTTTTTATTGCCACCTATAACATAGTTATAAATTAAAAATATTTATTTATTTTTTCATAATTTGTTATAGTAAATTAATTTATACTTGGAGATTAGTTATGGGTTCCATTCGTTGAACAAGTCCATTGGTTGCCAGAGTTAAGCTGGTTTCATAAGATGCTGTAGGTAATAATGGATTTAATACTTGTAATGGATGAGATGGTACCAAGCCAAAACTAACAATATAGATAAATATTAATACAATTTAAATCATGTTTAACAAAAAATATAAAGCAAAATCAAATATTCAATCACAGTTAAAAGTTCAAATGTAAAATTTTTATTAACTTATTGAATAAGTTACATTTTTCTCAGACTTACATAAAATTGATCGTATAAACTTTTCATTTTTAAATTCTGAGCAAAGTGAGGAATATGTACTTGGTTTTATAATTATGTTTATTGACATTATTGTATGACCAATATAATAATAAGCTTTTTCAATTATATATATAAGTGATATTTAATTAGTCTATTTTTTTACTTTCTGATACCATTTCAATTTAAAAAAAAACAAAATAAATCACGTGAATTTAAGAGACTACTAGATTTTAAACAAATAATAAAATATTAGTTTGAATTTAATGAATAAAACTTTAAATAAATCATAAAACATTATGTTTTCCACCATTCCACTTATTTGATAAAATATTCTTTTTATTCACCTTAACCACCCTTTTGGGGCTGTAAAAGTGATTATTCAAAAATGTAAGTAGTTTCTGGTAGTAATATGGACAGAAGGGGTCAAAAATTCCTAAAAAAAAATATATAATGGGAAAAACCAAAATAAAAAAGTTAAAGAAAACAAGAATTAAAATTGCAAATTCAATTTTTGAGAAATTAATGTAGAAGTTGTTAAAAATTTAATATCAAACTCCTCATAAGTTGTCTACTTATCAATTAAACAATATTTAAAATTTATAATCACAATATTTTTTATAACTATTTAAAACTTGAATTTTGACAAAATTTGTATAAATCTCAAAAATTTACTAATTATGTTATAGTTGGAAATACATAAACATTTTTTTTCTATAATTAAGATCTTAAAATGTAATATAAGATTTATTTTAAGCATTTCGACCTAAATATATAAAAAAAACTAGTAGAAAGAAACTTAATTTTTTATAAACATTTAAAATTTAAATTTTCATGATACTTTGTTAATTTAAAAAAAAGAACAACCATAGACTTGAAATATTTACTAAATATTTATATTATTCTTTTAAATATATGACAAAATTTTCCATTTTTATAAATCTTAAAAAAAGTTGGGGTAAAAACGATTAAAAATTGTATATAGGATTTCACGCAGTTGTTTTTCTAGATAAATTAAAATATTTAAAATACCTTGGTAAAATTTATTTTTAAATGAATTGCAATTTAACACATGACTAAATTTACAAAAATGTAAAAGCCTGTTTGCAGTTGAAAATGTATAAAATATACAATTTTTATATTTAAGGCTTGGTAATTCAATACAAAGTTCCTTATAAAAAATCCATAATAAAAACAAAAAATTTAAAAAATATATAAAAGCATCATTTTTCGTATAGGTATTTTGAGTTCAAATTTGGATAACAATATTCATTATTTTGTTGTAGTTCAAAAATGTTATTCATAAGGGCATAACAATTTTACGCATATTATTATATTTTACACACTATGATATTTTCAAATGTAATATTATTAGTAAAAAATGTGTGATTATTTTTTTATCAATCAATTCAAATTTAACATATTCATTACAAGTAATTTCCTTGACACCTACTGTACAGCAGAGTTGTGCAAAATTTTATTTATTATTACACTAATAAATATTTATTCAAATCTTTTAAAGTGTTAAGTAAACCGTGTTAATTCAAATTAAATAACTGAAAATTATTCGAATAAAATATTATCAAATAATTTAGAAAAAATTTTATTTAAATAATGTCTTACTCTGCTGTATAGCAGAATGGTAACTAACCTTTTTTAATTAAATTTTTAAATTATTAATACAATTTTCATAAGTTTTGAATTATAATTATAAAATCTAAACAATTAATAAAATGTAATAATTTGTGATTATAGCTATAATTTAGTAATCAAATCAATTAGCTCAGATAATTTTTATAGACTGATCTCTAATGACTTTGATTGTAAAAAAAATGATTTTGAATATACTTCAATAGAATAAAAAGAAGTGAAAATTTTTTTTATGTACATTTTATTTTTAAATTATTTATAAAACTTACGAATTTTTGTTCAACTGAATAGCAAATCCACTCATTGGTTGCATAGCTTTATTCTTGAGAGTCATGTCCATATTAATTTGACCATTTCTTAGAAAAATAGTAATGAAATCAAATAATATAAGACATGTAATTTATATTATATCATTATATATTTGTTTTAAAACATACTTTCTCGAAAATGTTCCCATAATTTCTAATCCTTTACCATTTTCACTTGGTAACCAAAGTTGTTTAGGAGGAGAATAAGATACTGGTGTTGGCGTGAATCCAAAAATGTCACCAAGCAAACCTGTATTTGATGATGAAGCTGCTGGTAAGTCAGATGTAGTTAATAATGAATCCAAACCAGAAGCAAGTAAATCAACAGAAGGCGGTTGAACAGACGTGGAAACAACAGCTGGAGTAGTCAGATCCATACTAAGAAGATCTCCAATCAACGACTCTTGTGGGGCAGGTATGACTGCAGCTTGAGGAACATTACTAGCAGAAACATTTTCATTTCTATAAACAATGCATGTCAAGTATTCACTATAAAGTATATTGTAATAAACAGAATACATATTTATAATTTCTTTACCTGGCTGGTAAAGATTTTCGTAATCCTGGTCTTCCTTCAACAAATGCATTTGGTGGCTTATGATATACACTGGCAAGACTAGAAATATGACATACAAGTTCATCAAGTAAAGTTGGTTCTAAAAGATCAGTTTCTTCTGAAATCAGTGGTTTTTCAGCAAGTACTACATCTTTAGCTGCACCTGGATCAGTGGATAATAATCTCCAGTAAATAAAACCACGATCACGTAAATCAGGATTATCTGAATCTTGTGTTGCCAAACTTAAGACTTGTTGTACTAATTCTTGAGTGTCAGTAGGTCTCTTCAAAAACAGTTTAACTATAGCAGTTAATAATTGCAATTGTACTTGAGTATTTTCATCATGAAAACCTTCCAAGAAGCTTTCTAATAATTCATCAGCATTATCTATACGTTCAGCATATTCTCCTATTATCCAAATCATAGATGCTCTTGCTTCAGGCTCATCAAGTGTGTCCAAATTTTCACATAATAAAGATATTATGCTTTCGTACTTGTTAGGGTATTTCCTAAATATATCTTTGATAACAACAATTGCCTCTTGAACTACATAGTTTACTTTTGTTTGTATAAGGTCCAACAGTGTAGATACACAGCGTTCAGCAGACTGCTCAACTTTAATTGCACATCGACCAATTGCACGCACTGCTTTGCGTACAAAATCAACATCAACTTCAGTGGCATATCTAAACAAATTTTAAATTAAAAGTCAGATCAAATTAAATAATGAGCTTTTAAAAAAAATAATTTACTCTTTCAGTTCTGAAAGAACTTGTGCTATATTTGCTTGTGATGCTAAGCGTATCATAATATCCAGTTTCTCTAGTTTTACATAAATAGGATCATTATATTTAACAAAAAAAACTTTCATTTCATGTTTAAGTATATCAGGCCTCTTTTGCACTATTAAATTAATATTTCTGAGTGCAACATATTGAACCTATAAAATATAAATGCATAATTATTAGTTAAATTTTAAATGCATACAATACATTATCATGTATTTATATATATTACTTCTGGTTCTGTAGATAATAAAGTAACAAGTGGTGGAGCCAGTTTTTTAGTCAATGTAGTAACAAAGTCGGAATCAGTTGGTAACATTTCCATTAGTTTCATTAACACTTTAATAGCAGATAAAACAACTGCTGCATTAGCATGAGCTAATCGGGGTGTTATTCTTTCACATATACTAAAACAAAATAAAATGTCACATTAAGAAATTAACTGTGTATTTATATTAATAACATACACATTTATTTAATTCTATGAGATCTAATATACTAAAAATTATTAACATATATTTTGCTACCGTCAAATTTGTGGTAGTACACAAATAGTAGAAATTTTTTATTTCAAAAAAAAAAAAAACAACCAAAACAACAATTAAATAACAAAATTAAACAAAAATAGGGTTTTACAAAAAATAGAATTTTTTTTAAAAACAATCTGCTCAGATTCGTTTTTCATAAACAATGAATATAATTGAATTGAAATTTAACACGTCTATAGTAGTGACCCAATCTACACCTAATGTACAGTAGAATGGTATCAACTTACCTACCACCTTTTTAATTATATTTTTTAGAATAATTATACGAAAAAAGTTTAAGTTATTTCTAGGGTACAACATAGCTAAATATTGCTTAGGAATACAGAAGTAAAAAAGGTTTTAATTACTTCAAAGTTTAAAGTATGTAGGTTTTGAAAAACAAGTTACTTTATAGTACAAAACTAAAGTTATAATATTTTATTAAACGATATATATAATTAAATCAATAAGCTTTAATTAAATGTACACTTAAATTAATATTTACCTTTGAGCCTCGCGATCATCTTTTGGGCTGTAATTAGCTAATGAATCAAGAATAAACACTTGACCCCATTCGGTACATTCATTTAATGCAGTTAAAAGTTTATTAATAGTTTGTGAATTCATTTCAATCAATGGAGAACCAGTTATACTAGCTTCATTCATTTCAGATAAAGCTGCAACAGCATTAGCAACCACCTTTTTGAAAAAAATTAATAAATTTATAGTTATTTTCAGATAAAGAATTTTTATAAAAGTATATTATCACCATAGGATTAGAGTCAGATAAAAGTTCTTTTAATTGTTCTAAAAATCCTTGATCGTCAACTAGTTGAGCATTTATGTCATAAAGTTTAGCAACACAAACAGCTGCAGTTTTGCGTACATACGGATCTTCATCTCTCAAGCATTTTCTCAATGGTTCACATAGATATTCAGTTATTTTTTCAACTCTGATGCAACCCATAGTACGCACTGCTAAAGCACGTATTAATGGATTTGGATCTTCACAATCCTGTTGAGAAATAAAGACAATTTTAAACTATATGTAAAATAGTGAGAAATAGTGAGAAATATTACCTTAACAAACGTATTGACAGCCATAATAGCCATATCAGGATTGCTTTTAGCGTAATTCATCAAATACAAATAAACAAGTTTTTTCAGTTCTAAGTTATCGGTTTGCATACAGTTTACAACATCAGGAAATAGAGCGGACACATCTTTACCAACTGTCATAGACGCAATAACCTACCAAAATAACAACAAAAGTGTAAGTATTATAACTTCTAAATAAATTTAATCGCATAAATGATTATTCTTAATTCAATTATATTTAATATTTTTTCTACATATTAATCTGCATAAAATAGGCTATTGTATAAAAACTTTCTATTTTTTTTTAAGTTTTCTATTCATTAATAATTATTTTTACAACATAAAAAAAAAATTAATTATACTATCAATAGTAAAACTTTTTAAAAAATAAATCAACTAACAATTATTTATTAATGATATTAATAGACAATTCTTTAACTTTAAAACATAAAGGTATTGAATTACATTTAAATTTCTAAGTAAATATAATAAATCTATAAAATATTTATAAACTTTTTTCTAAGAATCAAAATTAAATAATTTAATTTAATTATTCATATGTTAATGGACTAAATCACAATACTGAATTACCAAAATCTTTGATTGTAATTCAATATAATACTGAAGATTGATAGGTTGTTTATTTAATCCTATTTATATATGACTTTAATTTGTTAATTTAAGCTCAATTTATATATTTGATAATTATCATAAGATACAAATAAAAATAGAGTAAACTTTAATTTATTTTGTGCATCAAGGATTCCAAAATTATTGGTTATATTATCTCGGCAAGCTATTTAAAATCTAAGCCATTAAAGTCTACATTATTAATTTTAATAATATAAATAATATTCCTTACAAGTTATACACCTAGGAAGTATACTTTATAAATATAGATGCAATGAAATAGAAAAACAATTAATGATGAAAATACATAATATATAAAACACCATTGAAGACCAAAAAAGTGTCAATAGATAAACAAAAAAAAAAAAAAAGTAACTTTACTATATAGAAATCATAAGACATTACACTTAGAATATATTATAATAGAATAAATATAAAGTTGTTAAATATTATTAAACTTTTTTACTTAAATACAAAAAAGTTGACCACATTTAAATCTAAGAAAAAAGTAGGAAATTGTGTCATACTTAGTACAAAATGAGTCAAACTATTTTGTGAATAAAAATATAACAGTATACATTTTATAATTACAACAGAAAATTAGAATTGTTTCCTGATTATTTTGAAGAGTGTTGGAAATTTTGACCCTTTAAAGTATTAACTTGATCTATTAACTAAACTATACTCCAACATTAAAAATTAGTGTTCTAAAATGTATCTATTTACACATAAATACAAGAAATAAATGTTTACAAAAAAGTTGTAAAATAAATTGTTTTACATAAAATATAATAAATTAATAAACAATTCATTTTAATATAGGCTAGTACCAATTCAAATTTGAAATCTTGATGGCTAAAATTATTCAAACCAACAATGCCAGTCTGTTATAACAATTTTAATCTATTTATAATTAAATTTTTAGATAAAATATTTAATAAAATGTAAGCCTAATAGTATTATTGTATACATTTTTACCTTTTTTACAGCTTCTCTCTTCTTTTCTTTTTTGTCACTGTTTAGTTCAGATTTCAGTTCAAATATTTCACCTTTTTTCGTGGTGGTAAAGTATTTGCTGTCAGTCATTTTGATATTTTAAATTTTCTAAAAAATATATATATTTAATGGTATTTTATCTAGAATTAAAATTTTATTGAAAAATAAGAGTATGCAAGTACAAAATTACCTTACCAGTACTGTAAATAATACAAGTGTACCAAAAAACTTATCTTCTTGAATTAGAGGGGCGTGCGTCAGTAGCAATCTGTTATCGAATACAAATTTAATTTTAAAACAAAATAACTTATGTTTGTAAATACTATAAAAAAAAAAAATACCAAAAACAGATAATTTTTGTAATTAGTTATACACAGAAACTTACTATAAATAATGTGTAGTATACTATTATTGTTATTATAGATGTAAATTAATAAATATATATATATATATATATATATAATTAATAAATAATATTAATTATTATTTGCTATACGATATACATTATTTTATACTCGTCAACAGATATTAAGATCGATTGGATAGGCGATAACTCGAATACTAAGCAGCAGTGCAGAACAGTAAACGATATTATAATAAATATTAACACTGATAAATATTAAATAATTAAAAATTAACATTGATAACACGTATTGCAAATAAAACCATGGTAAAAGTATCCAAAATGAAAACATATTAGACAGTGTTCTCTCTACCGCCTATAGACAGTGTTGTAAAATGCAATCATTTTAAGTTGGTATGAACACATGATGAATTAAATATAAAATTTTCTCTGTTGGAATAATGGAGTGTAGTACTGTAGTATACTAGTATTGGCTGTTCTATGTACCTTTGGGCTTTGGTATTATTGTGAATTTGTGAATAATGTGAATAATTGTGATGGACATAATAAGCGCGAGCTGCGCATAGGCCATAGGGTGTGAATTTATTATTTAAGGAATGCTGAAATAATTATTAATTGTACACTGATCTGTGGTGACTGTGGGGCCTACGCCCTACTTAATACTATAATAATTTAAAATTTTTATGATTAGTATTAAAAATTTAAAAAATATTTAAAAGTATTTATATTATAAATGTATTAATAATAATAATGTGTAATCACTAATTAATGTTAAACAATGATTAATTTTCAGTTTGATATTGCAAATGTTTACAATATGAATTTTCCATCTATTTCATTGGTAAGATTTTTTTCAATGCTCAGAGTAAATAGCTTAGTTAATCTTTCTTGATCCAAACCGATGCGTAACTTAAAAATAGGTAAAATCATTCCCGGCATGTAAAATGTAAATAGCAACGAATCAAATCGTCTATATGATTGTTATTTGTTAATATTATTTGCCATTCTACGAGTATAATAAATTCAGCGTAACCCGCAGTTTAAATATTAGTAAAAACCAAATAGCTAATAATCAAAGTTATAAATAGAACATAATTTTGTAGTCAACTATGAACCGTAAGATAAAAATATAAAGTAATATAAGATAATAATGATAATATGATTTCTGTTTATTTTTAACGTTTAGACGAAAACTGAAACAATAAAACGTGCATTTATACAATACATTTTTAATCGTGAATTCATAAACTACATAATGTCTATTTGTAATGGAAAAAAAAATTTCAACCCAATGAATCACAATAATTTTTAAATGATTAGTGAAATACTGAATTACATTTTATAGGGAACTAGGGGTGCTAAGCACCCCCTAGCACTCTCCATATACGATATACACCTATAGATGAACAGTGATGGACAATGGTATTATTATTTATTTGTTTTCTCTGATTTCTACCTTCTAGCATGAACAACGAAATTCCAAACTTTTAAGTACTTCTACAATTTAAGATATAAATATTATGTCGCTAGGTATATCAAAAAACTATATTTTTAGGTAATAAAGTCGATTTGGCTTAGTATTGAAATTAAAAAATGCTTCTTTTTGTAATAAAACTTCATTTACACCTTCAATGTCTTCTATAACTTAAGAATTAGCAATTTTTTAAGTTAATGTTAATTTATTAATTTGTTTGTACGTACTCTGTAAGGTTACAGAAAATCAAAAGACAAATTATCAAAAAACAAGTTCGTTTAGCATCAAGATTCCTCAAGAATACTTAATAAACTATAGGTTGTCATAACCTATCATGAATAACTGAAAACTGAACTGCTTAATGTTGTACCTACTACTTATTAAAAATTGAAGTCATAAATAAACATTAATTTACATTTTTAAAAACTGTATTCATTAAAAATGATTAACTTTTTTATAATCAATATTGATAATGGGTACGTACAGCATCAGTTAGGTATCAGTCTTAGTTTTTTTTTAAATAAATCTAGTCACAAATATTTAAGAAATGTACTTAATCTTAATACTAAGTATGAATAGTATGATAATTGATTTAGTGTTTCAAAACTAGCTTGTTACCACTACCAAGTATTAGTTATGTCGCAATTTTCAAATGTTAAGCACACTCTGAAGAATTTACCAAGAGATTTTTCCTTCTTACATTTAAAGTTAATTGTTTTTTATTTACAATTTATATTATCCTGTGCAACGGTAGTGGCGCGAAGCTAAGTAAAAAAAAAAAAAATAGCGTAGTAGCCACTAACGTATAATAATAGAAGCCAGAGTTTTACCATTGAAAACCCGTCTTAATTTATGTTAATCCTTTGTCCAGCCCTACAGGGAAAACGGCTAAACATATAATGTCGTATGAGGTATCAATTGATTAGAAATATTGTGCAGATAGGAACAGGGGAACTCGCAAACAGATTGGTTAAACGGTTTACAAGTTATAACCAAAAATGTTTAAGTATTTTTAAGACTGATTTTGCGTACGCAACGAAATATATATATACCCCCCGATCCGCCGCTTATCAAAATTTTAAATACTTAGTCAACATATTGTTTATACAGTATTATAATTATGAAAAATACTATAGTGGCTAATTATTTATATTTATTTAAGTATACTTATATAGTTATACGTCTGCCAAATAGTTAAACAATATGTTGACTAAGTGTTTAACATTAAAATATTGATCTTAGGTATTTGTAATATTATAAAATGGCATTTTACTTAATTTACATATTATATCACGTCTTTTAAAGATTTAATCATTACTACATTTTTTTTTTTTTATTTTAGTATTTTTTTACACGGAGTTATAACGAAGTGTTTTTGATGAGATATGTAATACAATAAATAAATTTGATAAAAGAGAAAAAAATGACTCGTAGAACTATAGAAATTATCAGTAGAGAAAATATAGAAATACATTTTTTAAGTAAAAATGTTATTCAAATATATTTTTATTATTTAATATCATTATTTTTCACCGCGATACAAGCTCTGTAAACCACGGTAATAAAGAAATGGTTGGTTATAAATTTTAAAATATTTAGTATAATATTATTAATATGTTATCACCATGGATTTACAATAGATTATATTACAGGTCTATGGTTATCACTCTATTCTCACTGCATTGCCACCGCCAATCAAAGAACACGTAAGCAATCAATGACGTCAACGATTCGTTTGCACATTATCAATAGCGTTACAATTATCTCGCCGAATGTTTTAATTTCAAAGTTTGAACAGATAAAAAAAGTATAATTAAAAATAAAACAATATAAACGTGACATTGAACGACGAAGTGACAAGTGTAAGCAGTTTAAATGTTTCACTCTGTAACAGCTATACAACAACAGCAAAAATGATACTGTCAAAAAAGAATTTACTTTTCTCATTTTTATTTTCATTGCACTGCATCTGTTTGGTAAATTCAATTGAGTTGACTTTTGAACTTCAGGACAAAGCAAAGGATTGTTACTATGAGAATATAGAGAAAAATACATCTGTCACGTTGGAATACCAAGTAAGTGGCTGTTAATAGTTGAGTGATACATTAATTTTGTAATACATTTTGTGTTTTGTTCCAATTGTAGGTTGTTACTGGTGGTCAATACGATGTTGATGTTATAATCGAGTCTCCGTTAAAAGAAATTCTATACAGACAAGTGAAATCACAATTTGACAGCCACACATTTGTAGCAACAGTGAGTGGACCATATGCCATTTGTTTTAGCAATGAGTTCTCAACTTTCTCGCACAAGCTTGTGTATATGGACTTACAAGTTGGTGAGGAAGACGCTTTGCCTGGTATAGGAGAACAAGTAACTGTTATGACTCAGGTACACTTTTAAAACACCTTTTTTGACCTAATCATAATATAGATTATAAATATTTTATTATGTTGTTTTAGATGGAATCAACATCTCAAGATATTCATGAATACTTAAATAAAATTATTGATTATCAAACTCACCATAGATTAAAAGAGGCTCAAAGTCGTAAACGTGCTGAAGATTTAAATCATCATGTAGCTTTATGGTCAGCTACAGAAACTATTGCAATATTATTAGTCGCGATTATGCAAGTATTTATGTTGAAAAGATTCTTTACAGAAAAATCACCAACACAAACTCAATATAAGTCAATGTATTAAAACTATTAGGTTGAGAATAAATAATACTTATAATATAATAAAATTACCAATAAAAAAATTATTATCTTTTTTCTCGATATAATATTAAGATGTGTATACCAGAGACTTATCGTTGAAAAGAGTTTTTTGTGTGTTAATTAATATTCTTTTAGTCCAGGGTTTAACAAAAACTATTAAGATTAATATGTACATATTATTGGTTATAAATCATAGTTGATTGTTAATATGCAAAGAATTCATAATCATGCTTTGTACATGAATGTTTATGATATTATCATAATCAAATTTGATAAATCAAATTGTTTACCTACATGATATCAAGCATTATCTAGTTATCAAAAAAATGTAATATAAAAGTATATTATAATAAAAAATATTAGAAACCTTACATTATTTATAATTATAAGTATTTAAATGGTTTTAAAAATGTATCACTTATATTTTTATGTACCATATTATAATTTATTATTTTGGATTATTAAATTAATGAATTTGTACATTGACGAGTGTTAAATTGAATTCTGTATGAAATTCTAATTGTTTTATATTTAAATATAAATAATAACTGATAAGGAAATATTATATTGCACTTTTTTTCTTTTTTTACTTATACATTTTTCATACAAATTAGGTACTATAATTACTATCATTGGTTTTAGGTATGTTTAAAAACTAAACAGTATTATAATATTTATAACAATTAAAAGGTTGTCATTCCCTACTCAAGCAACTCACTTTAAAATGATAATATCAATAAAAGCCTATGAGATACTCTAGGTTGTATTCTTACCTTTAAGTTTGATATAATAGGCAAATTTACTCTTATATTTAAGCTAACAACCTAAAATGGGTTCTGTTTAATGCAAATTTGTTATTTTTTTCATTATCATGATAGAAATAACACATGGGGGTATGACATCCATTTAAGTAAATAATACATTATTATATTGAAATGCAGATAAGTGATAAATACAAGTGTAATGTGTTAAAATTTGTATATATTGTATTACATAACCCATTATGGGCACTTTCATTTATATAATTGTAATCTTCTAATGACCAATTATTCACTAATAAAAGGCCAAAAGGATGTGTGCTTGCTCTGGATCAGGTTAAATTTACTTCACCTTATAGAATGTGAAGTTGACAATTTTGTTGCCACATCTAATTAATAATTAACAAAGAATAATATACGATTTATTATTCAAAATAATTTTTAAATATGATTTGAATAAATTATATTATTGAGAACAATTATTATTATTAAACAAATGTGTAAGGAACCTTGTATTATATTTCAAATCTTAAGTATGAATATAAACATTTTATAAATTTATAATTACAATATAATTTGCAAATTTTGATGATTTTGATGAATCTCATTAGAAGCTTGAGCTTTTAATGCTTATATAAAAAATGTGACCATAATTTCTTAACAACTTATCAACTTACAGAACACTAGGCTCCCTTGTATTAACTAACTTTTCAATTTTTTACTAAAAAATAAATATTTTAAATAGATTAAAAAAGGGCCAACAATTTTGAAAATTATATTATACCTAAAAAAATACTATTGTTATTAATCAATGAAAATTTCAATTATCAATAATGTTATTCATTTTTTATTTTTAACAAAATTGGTTTATCAAAAAATAGTTTTTAATGTTCTCAATAATTTTGGGATTTTACTTTTAATCTCAAGATTAAAAACTAGATCAAATTCTTTACTAGAAACCTTCCTGTAAAAACCATAGTTGAAAATCTAATCATTTTTATTGTTTTTAATAGCTAAAGGTGGACATGTAGCACATATAAAACCAATAATTAGATTCGCCTGTCCCGTTAAGAGTCGTAATACCTACATTGACTCTCAATGATCAACCAATTAATTTATAAATTATGCAATTAAACTGATAATGATTATTGCTTTAGTGGTCTATCAAACAAGGTTTTTTAAGTCATTAAAGTTGAGTAAAAACTTTCTAAATCAATTATTTGTATTGATTTTAAACTTATAATTAGATTTTTTATCATCTTAAGTGATTATACTTATAGTTATTTCAGTTTTTTATGGATATAATAAAAATATTTTGAATTCAAATTACTTAATTAAATATTCATATAATTTTAATTTACCTGATTTGTTTCAATGATTAAAATTAAATGAATATACTATTCTAAATATTAATTCAAAAAAATAATTAAATTAAAAGTAAATACCTAGTGTATAAATATCAAAATGTGAAAAATGATTTACTTTTGTGCTTTTTATTTTTAAATCTTGATATCATATCCAGTAGTATAACCAACACTCATTCATTTTAAAATCCCCGGTAATGAGTTTCTATTAATTCGATGTCTTGATGAAAATGTTCATCTTGTTCATCACTTACTGCGCTTAAGTTTTCCAGAAAATAATCTTGGTTCCAATGTAAACAATTATTTTCAATGACATTTGACATTTCAGTTTATTATATGCTTATAATAAATGTTGAATTCTATCCTTGTAGTTAAGTATTTTGTGGTTTTCACATAAAAATTTTTTTATAAGTCCATTATATAAAAGCTTACCATGCTTCTTGCTTGGAACATATTAATATATATAATATTATATTTATATAATGACAAACAAAATCATTGTCTCTTACAAGTTCTCTAATTTGAGGTACAATGAATGTATACCTTCATTCAATTAAACTACACTTATCATTGGATATTTTTTTTTTGTATTTAGAGGTATCTACTGAAATTTTTTAGAATTTATCTTATCCCCATAAGGCCATAGCTTTCACAAAATTGTTCATTAAACCCAGTTTTATATGTAGTGGAAGTAAAAATATATCTTGTGGATCTATTAGAGGAGTTGATACCAGGCTCATATAAAACTCGTTGATTTCAATTTTGTTTAATGGTCTGCTGTAGACTGTTGCATAACTATCCTAAATCCTTCTTACACAAAAAACATCAGTTTAGTGAACCCTTCTTGCATGCTCATAAGCATGTCAATAACTTTTAGATCACTGCAGATTTGAAATTTATAAATATTGTACTTAGTAACAACAGTGACATTAAGTGATACTTTCATATTCATAATTCATATTTCACATTGTATAATGTGTAATTATTTTGAATGTACTTATCGAATGGTACGATTGGTAATTGGTATACATGGTTGAAGGTTACTGTTGTGCAGTAGATCATCTACAACCAGCTAATCGGATACTACTAAGTCTTGTGATAATAATGTTTTAATAAAGAAAACTGTATACATACTTTAAATTATGATATCAACTCGAGATTTTTATTTCGGTAACGAGTAATGACTAACGAAATACTTGAGCAGTGAGCACAAATTTTTTTGTTTGAGTTTAGAAGTCAAAAGTTCTGCTTTTTACTTAGTTAGGCTCAAACCTCTAATTAATTTATCTTGACTAAACGTTTCTGGAGATGATTTATCTCCATCGGGTGTGTAGTCTGTTGTATCTCCTGGATGTTTATTGTTTATCATCAAATAAATCTTGATCACATTCCATATCTTCCACAATAAAATTAAGACTTTCTTTCGGAGGTTTTGGAATAGGTAAAACAAATTACTGGTATAACTGGTGTAGTTGTGGAACAGGGTTAGGGTGAACAGTATTATACTCATTTTTTTTTTTCGAAAAGCTATATTTACATTACATAAGTTCATAAGTAGCAATTATTGTTATAATGATTTTTTGTTTACTGATTCCTCAATACTATTGGTATTGAAAGTTGCATAGACAATTTTCTTTTATTGAACTAGGCACGCAATCTATTTGAACAATAACTACGTATAGTATGCGGTTTCCATGCTTTATCTTGGTCATCAAGTGGAAAACCAAAGTATAACTAGTACATTTTCCAAAGATCATTTGTAATTTTATGTATAGTTGTGTTTTAGTAGCATATTATTCAATCACGTGACAAAAAATATCGGATAGCTTTTACATTGACGAGGTATAATTTTTAGTAAAAATAAACACACAGTTCGTAATTAATCGATATGTAATGGCCGAAGTAGGGAATTCAGACATTGTTATATACATTATACCCATGGTTTTCAACTGGTGTGTCGCCTAGTAAGTTCAAATGTATTGCGTGAAGTACTAATATTAAAATAAACAACATTTATTAAACAACTAATGAGCAAAAAAAGGTATTTGTTTTCATATTGTATTTATGGACCGCCTGTGTTAATAGACAGGTATCCTCCCAGTCTGGGCCTGAGTGTACTGTCACTGAGCATCGCCCATTTACGCCAAAAAAAATTAATTTGTTTTGGGTACGACCTATTTGTGCCAAATTTACCTGGTATAATTTATTATAATAAATTAATATTCTTTTTCCTCAAATAATGATCAATACCATTTTATTTAAATAATATTTAATTGTATGAATTTTTTAAAAATAATAAGTAATAACTAATAAATAATAATAAAAATGATTTTAAATAATTGGTAATAAACAGTTAGTAAATAAATATTTAAAAAAAAAAATTGGTAATCATAGTCAATTGTGCGAATTTTTTTAAAATTATAATTAATAATACACATTTTAATCTTTGTTTTTAGAAGTAGTGAAATGTAAATTGATTAATGCTTTATGAACATCAGACACAGATTTAAGATTTAAAGAAAGAGATTTTTTACGAGCATGGTAAATACTTTTTTGTATGGCAGATACTGAGATACATATCATTCATCAGATATAGCAAAATCTGAATTATGTAGTTATTCATTTCAGTTAAAATAATTTTCCTAGGTCGAATACTTATTTCTTCGACAGCCACACGCTTACATGTTGCAGTTATATTTAAAATCTATAGAACTTTTTCATACGTTACAGACACGAGTACATGACGTTTTTTAAATATACAAATTAACCAGTTCGTTAATGTAAAATGTTTACGCAGGTAAATTTGGCGCAAATGGGCTGTCGGAAAAAATATACTTTTTTTATTTAGGCAAAAATGGACTGTACCCAAAACGAATTAATTTTTTTTTTGTGTAAATGAGTACCTAACTCCTGTGTCGCCATTTTATGGATCTAAATTAGAGTGTCGTCATACAAAAAAGGTCGAAAGTCACTGCATTATACAATGCCCTAACGCTGATGCACAATACCCGAACATTTTGGGCAGTGTAAAAATTATTATTTTAATACTGAAACTCTTCATACATAGTGTAGGCATTATACAAGATTGCCCCTGAGAAGTGTACCCTGTCCGGATTTAATAATATTAGAAACATTTTAGCTCACAATAGATGAAAAGCTGTTTATATGATATAATAATAGTAAGGAAGATTCTC